CACCTATGTAGAGGCTTCATCATTATCACCAAAGATCCCACATAAATCAAAGGAAGCAAAGAGAACAGGGGGTCATTCGGTTGGTAAAAAAAAACGGAGAGAAGAACAAGAGAGGATTCGGGTTCAGAGACAAAAAAAAAAGAAGGAAAATACCAAAAAAAAACAGAGGAAATCAGAAAGGAAATCAGAAAGGAAATCAGAAAGGAAAAAAGGAGGAACCGAAGCTTACCCATAACCGACCACCATTGCTTCATCGGGGTGATTAGGCTCTATCTTTGGAGGTATTTTTTTTACCTTTCGGATTTGGGGGTTTCGGGTTTGATTGTGAGTGGGGGTTTAGTTTCAGGTCTATTTTAGGGGGGAAACTGTGTAGTTTGTGAGACCCCGTGGCCACCGTTCTACGGTGGCCGGGGTCGAGTGCTCTGCTTCGGCAGCGAGGGAGGGAGAGATTACAGAAGGGAGAGGGATGGTCGAACGGCTGAGGAAAATGGGGATATGGCAAATGATTTAGGGTTTCAAAATAACCCTTAAAAGGGTTATGTATCAGACGCCAAACGACGTCGCGTAGGGAGGCCGAGCGCCTGGGTCTTTTGGGGTTAATATCCCATTTAGTCCTCGCTCCTTTGTAAACTCTTACCCGTGTCCTGGACTTTAGGGGTTAATGTTATATTTGGTCCTTGTAGTTTGTAAACCTTCGGTTTTCTTTCATGAATGGAAGTTTAATGGCCTTTCATTTTGAGCTCATATCTTGTTTAACGTTGCAATTTAGTCCTTGTCTGTTTTAATTTTTTTTTTATGATAGTATTTCAATTTGGCCATACTATTTTAGTATATTTGTATTTAAGTAATGTATATTTTATGTATTTCATTCCAGTCCTTATTTACTTATTATTATGGTGTTTTTGTTTAAATTATAATGGTGGCCTGATATTTTATATCTTTTCATTTTGATCCCTATTTGTTCATTATTGTATTTTGGGTAAATACTTTGTTTTGAGCTCATAGTTGTAATTATTTCATTTTAGTCACTGTTTTATCTCATTGTGTATTTTTCTGTGGTATTCGAATCTGGCCACCATATTTATAAATCTTTTATTTTAATCCTTGTTTTACTTTTTGGTTTAATCATTATTCAGCCTTCATGTTTCTGTTTTAATTTCAATCTAGTCCTAAGTATTATTTATGGCTTATTCACATTTTCTGATGTTTGTATTAGTTGTTGTTTGTGATTTGGGCCCTGTTTATTTTGTAATTACTTTTTAGCCCTGTTAATTTCTGCTTTTACTAATTTAGTCCATTATGTTTATGTATTTCTATTTTAGTCCTACTAATGTATTATGTCATTTTTGTGGATACTTGACTTTGGTCCCAATGTTTGTAAAAGTTTCATTTTAGTCATTGATTTTATATGTTAGGTATTTTTGTTAATGATCAAATTTATCCCCGACATTTGTGAATATTTTATTTTATTCATTTATGTATGATTTTATTGTACTTGTTATTCGGTTATTTGTATTATAAATAATGTTTTTAGTAATGTGAATATTTTGTTTTGTATTTCCAATTACATTTATTTTCATTATATTTTTATCTATGTATGAAATATTCGATTATATTTTCAAAAAACACGTATGCGTAGAATGGGCGTGGAAAGTACCACTTGATCGAAGTGGTGTGATCCGGTACGGCATTTTAACGACATAGAAACTTGAAATAAGTCGAGTATATTTCGTTAATTAATTTGTTCAAACGATGCAATGTGTGTTATTTTAAGTGACAATTTATTTTATTTTATGTGAATGTAAATTTCAAATTTTGCATTTGTATTCAATTCACATTTTAGTTAATCAATTTATTTTGTTGTATGCAAACATCAATTTTATTTATATTCGATTCACATTTTATCAAGAAGGAAATATTCTTTATGGATGAGAAATAGTCGAGTTAGCTTTTCCGATGGAGGATTACTAATTTCGAGATTTCTTTTCGAGTTAAAGAATTTTCTCTAATTAAATAATTCGAAGCAAATTAATTAATGTTCGATAAATGGATCATAAATTAATTTTATATTCGACTCATAAATTCCACCATTTACAACGATGTGTAAGCGACACAGTACCAATTTTGGGCGTTGCGGGGTGTTTACCCTTCCCCGCACGTAACCGACTCCCGAATCCATTTAAATGAATCTTTGGTAATGCAGACCGAATCTTGTCTTAAAAATGATTTTTCTTAAAATTGTCTTAAAAGACGTTTTTAGGTATTCGACCTACCTAACCCAAAGGTTGATGGCGACTCTTTTTAATTTTATTCAAATCAATTCAAAATCACCCATTTTTCCAAATTAAAGTCATAATTGTTCTTAAAAAATAATATTTAATTGTTTTACAAGAAATGGTTATGACACTTATATAAAGGTTTTATGAATGATTTAGGGTATGAATCGCTCAAGTAATGATTTTTATAATGATGAGTTGAAAATGATTTTGGTTTGGAAATGTTGATTATTAAATGAATATGATAAGATCTGAAAGCCCATTGTATGTTGCATTGAGAGTCGTAGGTACACTTGGCATGCCATTAAGTTGAGTAATTTGGATTTCGATTTGGTACATTCGTGTACATTATGTATTGCATCGTTGCTACAAATGATATAGTTGCACTTGGAGTGCATATTCTGATGATGATGATGACACCTTTGGTGATTAGTGCACACATTATGTCCGACTCACGCACCTTGCACTCTCTTAAATATACTTTGGGCTATGAAAATGAAATATGAAAGTTCTGAAATGTGTCCGAATTCAAAAGAATATGAAGTGATTATTCTTTCTGATATTGATTATCATGATTTTGATAAAATCATGAGATGATGATTTTCTAGGTTTCTGATGAAGAAAATGGCTTGATTAAATTGGTTTGAAAGTCTAATGTTTTTATTTGAATTATATTTTAATGTTTTGATGTGTTTATGATATTTTTATGTTTTATCTCACATTGAATTATTACTGCCTCACTAAGTTTTACTTAGCGCGTGATGATTTTCATGCATAGGTTCAAATAAAGAAAATAACATGTAGCGAGGAGCCTCTCAAGCATCTTCTCAGAAAAATTGTACTTAATATTAATACCAATAAGACATCCTGATGTTATTTTGGCTTTTTAGTGGCACGTATATTATATTTGTCTGCTTGCTTTACTAAATTTATTTAGAATGGTTTATAATAGTAAACTAGGACTTGTAATACCCCAAATTTTGGTTAGTGACCAAAACATAAATTTTGAAAGTTTGGTGAATAAAATATAAAATTAGGAAAGTTCAAGGACCAATGTGGTAATTTTCCTAAAAATAATTTTTATTTCATAAATGGATAGTTTACTCTTGAGAGTGAGGTTTAATGGAAAACATATGTTTGATCCAGAGAATATGTTAAAAACTATGTATTAAAGTCCGGTAAGAATTCGATAAATGGGATCGAATAGAAATTTTGAAAATAAATTGAAGGATGATAAATTAAGCTTAAAAATATTATTTCCACATATCTAAATGATTGAAAAATAATATTGATCTTTGGATCTGATTAATTATTGTCATGTTTAATTTGGAATGTTGGATGAAAAATGACAATATTAAAATTTTAGAAAGATTGCATGGGCAAAGTTGTAAAGGTTGAATTATTTTGTTCACCTTTGACTTTAGGAAGACGATAAGTGTTATGTAGTTTGGTATTAAGGTAAATATCAAGTTTCATTAATGACAAAATGAATATTTCTCATTAAATGAATATTTTATTCATTTAAGCTTAAATAAAGGTTAAATTAACATGAAATGACTTAAAAATTTCATAAAAGATAGGTCATTTTCATCTCCATTGCCGTGAGGTTCCAACCAAGGTAAGATAAACTTTATTTTTCATTTTTGAACAATTTCCTTCGGATTTTGGGTTAAGACGTGAAACAGAAAATTATTCTATTCGAAAAACGGTATAATTTGGCACCATTATTGCATGCTAATTTTGTTTGTGTTCAAAGATCCCAAATTCTAGGGTTTATGTTCATATTAGGGTTTCATGATTTGGTGAAGGATTTAGATGTTTTTAAGGTTGTAAAATCATTTTCAAGTATGATTGATGATTAAATCAATTGTACATGTCTATATGAGCTTATGAAGTTTCGGCCAAACCATGATCTTGGAGAAAAGATGTGATTTGAAGAAATTAAGTTAGGGGTTTAAATTGTAGAGGTTTTAAAATGAGGATTAGAGGTTGATTTCATGTTCGAATCAAGTGAAAACTATGAAGATTGAACCCTTTTAGCATTCGACCTCAAGGTAATTGTTAGGGAAAAATTGTGAAAAAATTAATGTTGTTTAGAAATTATATTTGGAAGGTTATACAAGTCTTAGAAAATTTTTTGAGCCGTTTTGTAATTTTTCAAAAGTTAGGGGACTTATTCGACAATTTTAAAAAGTTATGAGCTGAATGTGTAATTACTCAATAGTTGATGTATATTGCTGAAAATTACTGTTTGAGTGCTGAAATTGAGATTAGAATGTGAAATTTGGTCATTTTGGAAAGTTGACAAAGTTTAAATACAAAAAGACAAATATTGAAAAAGTTAATGACTTATATAGTAATAAAGAATTTGTTGAGGTACTTGCTGGAAATTTAAAATGTTGAAATTTATTGGACTTATTTAAGTTTTGAATCGAAGATAATTTCCCATTATGAGTAAAAAAAAATTTTATGATGAATTTTAGAAGAAGTTAAAAATATTAGTACATTTATTATGAACAAACTCGAGATACAGACAAAACGAAATGTAAGTAAAAAGTTTAAGGGTAATCGAATATTGACAGTAAAGGTCCGTTTAATTGTGAGAAAATATTTTACGAAAAATATTTTTTCCGTTTCCCCGTATTTGGTTTAGTAAAACTAGAAAGTCAAAGGATTTCATTTTATGGTCAACATAAAGCTCATCCATTTCCACCGTAAAATGAATTACGTTTGGGAAAGGGTAAGGCATTTTCCCTTCAAACGGTCCTTCATTTTCCCTTTCCTCTTTCCATACCGAAAATTCATTTCGGAAGGTCAGGTCCTCCCGATATCACCGATACGTACTCTCTTCTCGTCCTCAACATCACCTTCCGTAAGCTCCCCTATCTCTTCGTCTATTGCTCGTTCGTTAAACAATTTCTCTTTTATCTACGATTTTGTTTATACTGTGATTGAAACATTCGATTTGGTTTGATTTTGAATCTGTTTAGGCACGACTGCTGATGATTTGTTTCCACTCTTCGACAAGTACGGGAAGGTCGTCAACATCTTCATTCCCAAAGATCGAAGGTTCTTTCTCTTTTTTCATCTCTTTTTTGGTTGTTCGGAATTTATATAGATAACAATTTTTGTTTTCTTGATGGTAGGACTAGTGATTCATGCGGCTTTGCATTTGTGTGCTATAAGTATGACGATAAAGCTCAGAAAGCTGTAGATAGGCTAGATGGCACGTTTCTTCCCCTTTTTTATTTTAGCGCTTTTATATGTATTAAATGTGGCATTCTATTAATTTTATAGGTAACTGATTCAGTATGTAATGATATTTCATTGTTCTTTTAGGGAGAGTTGTTGATGGTCGGGAGATAACTGTTCAGTTTGCAAAATATGGCCCTAATGCAGAGAGGATGTAAGTTGTGTGATAGACTGCTACCCGACATTCATTCATTTATATATATTTCACTGGAACATATTTTAAGGCCGATGTAGAGAAGATGCATGCAGTAAGAAGTTATTTGATGAAAATATGAATATGACTCTTGTTTAAGAAGACATATTACGAAGGAAATTGGCTTGTTTTGCTTTAACAGGGAAAATGTCCATTTGCTTAAGTAATTTGTATCTACAATAGAAGTTTGGAATGCTTGTTTGGCATGCTCTATTAAAATTTGAGGCTATACGTGTCCTTTTTTTATGTGGACATCTCCTTATCCTTGTAATATTTTTATATTCTGAATAATTTTACTTAAAGTCTTTGCCTAACGAGTTTCATGTGCTTTGGTAATTTCCTTTGCAGTCAGAAAGAAAGGATTATTGAATCATTTCCAAGGTCAAGAAGCCGAAGTCCTCGTAGAAGGTAAGTTTTTCTGTGCATTTTCTCATTTTATATGATTGATATCATTTTTGTCTCTCTTGTGCCTACGTCTCTGAATGAATTGTGAGAGATATTGATGAAGGTATAATAACCATGGGGATTTTTCACGTATGATTCTACCTTACCAATTGAAGCAATCTATATCATTAGTCACATGAAGATGATAATGTTACATGGTAGTACATTTAAGATTAATTGGTTTACTTTTTTATCTTTCTGTTCCTGCATTAAGTAGCTAAATGCATTGATTGTGGTTTATTTTCCATTTATATTATAACTGTTTATTAGTTTTCTTTATCAGATTTGATTTCCTAGAGGGAACTCCAATTCTTCCTTTGTTGTATGTATAATGCCTTTTAAGCTTGTTTGTATAGCAAAACCCACGTGGATTGATTTTTTCCCTTTAGAGTCTTTTTGATATGTGATGTTTTCCATGTCAAATAAATTCAAGCACCGGGACGACCATTAAAAAGATAGGGATTATAGAAGAAGAGGTCGAAGTAGAAGTTATAACAGATATGAACGTGATTGATATCGTGGGAAAGACAGAGACTCTCGGCGCCAAAGCAGGAGCCATAGTGCTAGTCCTGTTCGTTCTAAAGGCCGGGGAAGAGATCGTTATGATGAAGATCGGCGAAGTAGCAGTCGATCAAGGAGGTTTATACTTTGCAATCCATGATGTTCAGTTTATTCCATTTCCCCTTATTTTCATTCGTTAACTCATTGTGATTCAGTGTTTCTCCTTATCGCCACAGTCCTAGTCCTCAGAAGAGTCCTTCCCCACGTAAGGCATCTTCCCCTAGGGGTGAAAGTCCTGATAGACGGAGCCGTGATGGGCATTCTCCAAGTCCTCGAAGTGTTTCACCACGAGGCCGTCGTGCTGATTCTCGGAGCCTGTCTTCTGGAAACACAGATTGATGTTAGTTTTTCCCCATCTTGTTTACTCACTCCCCTTCTTCTTTAGTCTTTACTTCTTGTGTGTGTGTAAATTTGTTTGTGCAACCAGGTATTCTGACATGTTTGCTTTTGTATTTTGTAGGAATGATCTTTGCAGATGGCATTGGAATTCTTGGAAACTTGACGTAGCATGTTTCATGTTGCTATTTTGTTAATGTTAGAGGACATTCAAATATCATTTGTTTCTTGTATTGGTAGGACTTTTTGGTTATAATTTTCTGTCCTGAACCTTTTGTCACTATTACCTAAGTAAGATGTGTCATGGTATTTAACGTTATGTAGTTTGTAGCTTGATGTTTCAGTACACATCAATGATTCTATGGTGTGAGTCTGTTTTCATATTTTGCTTCCTCTGCCTTGAGATATTATATTTGGCTTTTATTTTGCTTGATATTTGTCTTTCTGATCAACTCAGGGGTCCCAATTTGAAATGCTCCTTTTTAAAATCATTATTATTGTTAAAAACGTTGATTCATCTCAAACTGTCTGTTGGCTTTTATAGCAATGTTCGGGGAAAGAGTGAGTTGAGCAAATGGACATGATGTTGATGTTGCTGTTGATGATGTTTTTATCTATTGATGAATGTTCGTGATTGTGATGCTGGGTTATAGAAGTATGACGCTGATTGCAGGGGCTGTTTGTTAATTGTTTTTAACTGAAAGATATGGTGATTGGTAAGAGATGTCTTGGTTTCCAGAGCACTTTCTATCTTGTTTCTGATGTTTGCATCTGTTTTCTAAATATTGGTTGACGCTTAATTGTTGTGATGGTATTAAAGGACCCAACACTTTGACCCGTGGGATGATGTGTTTAATGGAGCTCTCTTGCATTAGATCTGATGCAGTTACTAAAAAAAAAAAAAAATGTAATGTTCGGTGAAAACCTTATTGCTGTATTAATTGAACATAATAACTGGTTTTAGTTTTAACTAGTTAACAAAGCTCCAATATCCATGTCTTACCGAGCATTAGGATAAATATACTTCATTTTTGGAGAGATTGTGCTCCCGTCGGTTTAAATGTATATTTTCATGAATCCTTTGGGATGTACATTTTGACAATATTATTATTATTACAATATTATGTACCATTGTTGTTTTAATGTGGTGAATTAATTAAACCTAGATAATATTTATAAACTTTTATAATATATTTTTAATAAATTGTTAATGTTATATCAAATAAACCTAAATAATATTAATTATACGTTGAAATTCATTTCTAAAAATACGAATGAATAAGCATCATGAAGATTTTAAACCTAAAAATAGTGTATTTATAACACAATCAACATAAATTATTAATATTATTTAAATATTTAGTTTGACGTACTTATAAAAAATACAATTTTCTTATAAAAAATAATTATATAAAAAATAAAATGAACCTTTAAAAAACTAAAAGGTAAAGAATAAAAACATATGTATGATTCTTTATTAAAAATAGATTCTGAAAATTGTTTTTAGAAAAATTAACTAAACAGTGTAAAACATTTTACAATGTACCATCCAAACATTGGAAAATGTTTTCTGGAAAATGTTTTCTGGAAAATGTAATTCATTTTTCAGATTTCATTTTCCGGAAACTGTTTTCAGTGAAACAAACGGACCTTAAGGCATAATAATAGTGAGGCATACCAGGTGAGTGCATTTATTATGTATTTATATTATATCAGAACGACTTACGATAAGTCCACCTAAAGTGTTTTTATTAAATATGTTTTGATATATAAATATTTTCACAAAGTTTATGAAAATGATTTTACGAGTGATTTTACTAACATTGGTAAGGGGCTTATTATTTCATAAATCGAAAATATGGAAATTTTGGTAGCATTCCGGTTACTAGAGGACAACCCACGCACCCATACGGGCCCACTATGCGTGTCAGACTGTTTTTCTAAAAATTTGGTTGGATCGATCTAACTAAATTGGACTTGAATCGGTCAGACTTGATAGAGTTGACCGAACTCGAATCAGACTGAGTTGACCTGTTTACTTTGACTCGATCCGTTGACTTTGACCATTAGTTGTTGGTAATTGACTTTGACCTTGACACATTGATTTTTTTTAAAGACCTCTACCTTGACTTTTTTCGATGTTATGAGCCCATGTCCTTAGTCAGTTTTGCCAAATTCTGATCCGAAAGGTATGTTTTGCATCTTTTAGTGTTTTACATTATAGTTATGTTAAGTAAATTTTGGAATCTATGATCTTACTCTTATATATTATGTTCTGAAAGTGATCACAAGTCTCCGCACCGCTCTCTAGTAGGTATGATTCATCTTTATTCAACTCAACTTGACTCTGCATGTTCGATTCGAGATATGCGACTAGTACTATTGATCGTGGGATGCGTAAAGCTTAGCCGATATAGATTAACCGATATAGGTGTGTCCTCTTGACATGTATGATGCATTTAATAATTTTATATATTTATGTTGTATGATGTTAACAGTACACATGCTATTATTCTAATTTTGTCTACCTATGATATGTATGATTTCTTATTGGAATTGTATCACTTTTTATCTGAGTATTGATATATTTATGTCATATACGTGGGTTCCTCTACGGAGGTTAACGTTCATGTCCTATTTCTGCAAGTGATCCTCTACGGAGGATAATATCCTCATCCTGTTTCGGCTTGGGATCCTCTTTGGATGGCTATATCCCCACCCTATTTTATGTTTTTGACTGGGATCCTTTTTGGAGGACATTATTCACATCCTAATTTTTGTTTCTAACTGGGATCCTCTTCGGAGGGCATTATCCCCATCCTGATTTCTATTGAGTTCCTCCTCGGAGGTTAACTCAAGCTCCTTTTCGGAGGGTCCATCTTAATTTCTCTTTTTTACTTTAGATCCACCTTTGAAGGTCTCAGGTTTCTTTCAGCATGCATTATTCTCTATTATGTTCATCTATAACTAAAGTTGTGAGAAACACTATATGATTTCCTGGTGATATATATATGTTTTTACTAGTGCTTGATTACTATGTTGTTTTATCATGTCTAAATTATTTGAATTTTTATTGGTATTTGTATTTTGAGGCACGCTGAGCTTTTAGCTCACTGTGTTTCTGATTACACTTTCAGATTGTCTAGATGTATAATTGATTTGACTATCGGTGAAGTAGTCTCGATTTTATATTGTGCAAAGTTAAATATTTGTTTTTTACTTCACATAACTGTGGCATGAGTTACTGGTTTTATAACTAGTAAATATTTTAAAAATGATTCATTAAACAAATTTCATTCGTAAACCATTTCTGTGATCAACAAAGCTATCTTGATTCTGATGTAACTTTTAAATTAGGTTTAAGAATAACAAAAATATTCTAGAAGAAGAAAAATCAAAACGATGACAGAGTTAATTTTAATATGATATGGGTTTAATTATATCTATTTACATTCAAAGATAGTTCACCCAAGGGGGAAAATAAAACATTATCATCGACGGTTATATGGTGGCCATTTCACCCATTACCAACCTCCCAACTAGAAGATCCAAAAAGAAATAATTTGTCCTCACATGTCATTCACCCATTTCTCCTCTCACTCGACTTCCCTTGTTCTTTTCGCCCTCAAACCTCTTTAACCCAACAAATCCCTCAAAACCTTCACCCTCTTGTCCCCTCCCCATCTTCATCAACAATGGTAGCTTCCTTAACAATCTCGAAATTCATCTCAGCAGCCTCCGCCATTTCATTTCCCAAAGCCACTGCCAAAATTTCCTCTAAATCCATCTCTTCAAAGCCCTATATTTCTCCCCTTTCCCTCAACCTCCGCCGCCGCCTTTCAAAACCCATTTCCTTTTCCACCAAGACCACCCAAATCTCCGCCGCTATCTCCGTCGGTGATAAGCTTCCCGACGCCACCCTATCCTACTTCGACTCAGATGGAGAACTCCAAACTACCACCATCTCCTCCCTCACGGCCGGCAAGAAAGCCGTTCTTTTCGCCGTCCCTGGGGCTTTCACTCCCACATGCTCCCAGAAACACCTCCCCGGGTTCGTTGAAAAATCAGGGGAACTTAAAGCAAAAGGAGTGGACACCATCGCCTGCATCTCGGTGAACGACGCCTTCGTGATGAGGGCTTGGAAAGAGGATCTGGGTATCAAGGACGAGGTGCTTTTGTTGTCGGACGGGAATCGGGAATTCACGAAGAAAATTGGGTGCGAAATGGATTTGAGTGATAAGCCGGTTGGACTGGGTGTCCGGTCTAGAAGGTACGCGCTGTTGGCTGAAGATGGAGTGGTTAAACTTGCTAATTTGGAAGAAGGTGGGGCTTTCACTTTCAGCGGAGCTGAAGACATCCTCAAGGTTCTGTGATTTAACATCTTTTGATTCCTCGAAACTCTTTCGTTGGCTAGTTTATAGTTTTGCTTTGCAAAAATGCCAATAAAAATGAGCAGGCTCCCATGAAATGTTGGCAGTGGAGAGACATGAATGATATTTTCCTCTAGACTATGTGTGTTTTTTCTTTTTTGCGATGCAATGTTTCGTGTATGTTATGTTTTCTTGGAAATGTGTTGGAGTTGGATCCATTTATATTTCAGATGCACAAAGAACAAGGTTATTTTGCCAAATTTTGAAGTATTATAAAACCAGTATACTACCAGAACAATACAAGGGAAGAACGGCGACCATTCAGGGTTCTTGTTTTACCAAAAAAAAAAAATGATTCATGGTTTTCTTTTACTTCAGGTCTTATTAGTTCGACTACAAATTGGGTTGTAAGTCCATTACGATGGTTTGGTATTTATGATTCCAAGTCTAACAAATTCCTGTAATCGCTCAGCTGACTAAACCCAACCGATTAACAGCTTAACTGATATCATGTTGAACGGAGAAGCTGCGTTTTGGGTTTCTGCAACCTAGCAGAAGAGCAATTCAAAGACTTGGGTGCAAAGCCCATTGCAAACACTTATATTTAGTCTAATGGCCCAAACCAGTTTGGGAATGCTTCTGACAATTAAAAAAATTGATTTTTCAATCTCACGAGTAATGTAAACACACAAAAATTGACTTAAAATTATAGTAGAAAAAGTGATTTTCAATCTAACCTCTGGCTAAATTTTTTAAATTTCAGGGTGAAATTATATTTTTTATCCTCAATTATTTAATTTTAATTGGTTTTTAAATTAATACACATATATGTATAATTATTTTTATTAATTTTTAAATTGATTGTTAGATATAGATTGATAAAACTTTAAAGATATTTTTACTAGTACATATATTATTTTTTATATCAAAATAAGTATTTAAATTATAACCTCGTAATAATTTTAAGTCTACATATTAAGAAGTATAGCTACATAATTTTTCTTAATAAAAGTTTTTATATATAAAAATATTATTAATGAGTTATCATAAAATACTTTTATATTTTTATTGTAATTTAAGTTGATATATTTAAAAAATCATAGTATTACTAAGTAAAAATATAATTCAAATATAATAAGAAATGCTTTGTAATTGTGATACACACGAAAGGTGAATTCTTAATTGACTTAAGTTTGTTTATATACAAGTTGCACAACCCGCCAATCATAACTGCCTAGCTAACAGACAAGCTAACCGCTTACCTACTCAATAGTAGAATCACTAGGATATTGACACGTGTATCTTTAATAACAGTCTAACATCCCCTACTTGTTCTAATGTTCTTGTTTGAATTTGAACCCGGGCACTACATATATCCTGATGCGAAAGTCTTCAAAAACAACTCTAGACAAAGGTTTGGTGAAATCATCTGCAACTTGATGTACAGCTGGAACATAGTTGACCTGCAGCTGTCTGGCAGCAACCTTTTCCCAAACAAAATGAACATCCAAATCTATGTGTTTTGACTGTGCATGGTAAACAGAATTGACACTTATTGCCACTGCACCTGTATTATCGAACCACACCACTGATTCTTGATCTTGCTGTAACCCTAGATCAGCAAGTAACGCTCTCACCCAGGTCACTTCAGCAGCAGTATCAACAATACACTTGTACTCCGCTTTCATCATTGATCTGAACACTGGTTTCTGCTTCTTAGAGCTCTATGCAACAAGGCATCGACAAACGAACAATCCATAGCCAGAGATGGATCACCTATCATCAATGTTAGCCCCCTAATCAACATCAACAAAAGCTGAATTTGTCAACCCTGTATTTATTGACTGAAACAAGAGACCATAGTCAACAGTTCCAGCCAAATATCACAATATTCTCTTGACTGCAAGCATATGCGTATCTCGCGGTGCATGCATATACTATGCCACCTTTCCAATGCTGTAAGCTAAGTCTGGTAGTGTATGGCATACATAGAGCAGGGAACCAACTATACTACGGTATTCACTAGTGTTCAACAACAACTCCCCCTCTTCTACTGAAAGCTTAGAAGCCAACACCATTGGTGTGGTGCAAGTTGCAACACCTTTCATTCCAGTTTTTTCAAGCAGTTCCAGTACAAATTTCTTTTGACTCGGTATAACAGAACCATGAGACCGATGCACTTCAATCCCCAAGAAAAAACTAAGAATACCAAGGTCCTTTAGTGAAAACCTATCACCGAGTAGTTGCAGCACCTCTTGAATTGCACTTGATGACTGTCAAGTGATGATAACTTTAATCTCAAACAATTAAATTTTAAACTACACTTTTCAAAATAACTTTCAAAAATAGTTTTTAAAAGCACTTTTAAATCACTTTTCAAAAGAAATATGAGTTAGTTTTTTTTGAATTGAAAGAAGCAAAAAAAAAAGGCTAGCGATTACATTGTCTTAGGGGAGACAACCTCCATTACATAGTTTCGCAAGTGTGGAATCAATGCAGCTGGGGGAAAATCGTGAATGAGCAATTGAGAAGAGTGCAATGGTGCCATCTGAGCTAGTATGTCAGCCACTTCGTTAGCTGCACGGGGAACCCAATGTAGTTTCGTCTCCCAGGCGCAACTACGAAGGGTTGCAATCGATCGGACAAGGGAATTGGGGCTTGTGTTGGAAAAGTCAAACAAAGGGGCTAAAGAATTAAACAAAGGGAGCTGCATTTTCAACTAAGGGAGGCCACCGAATTTGGTGGAATTGTGCACCGAATTCGGTGCAATAAATGTGTTGAATTTTTTTAGGGTAATTGTAACTTCAGTCATTGCAATTTTTAGGGTATTTACAAGATTAGTCCCTAAGCTTCAACTATAAATACCCTAGCCTATTTAGCTTCAAAATAATCCCAAAATCCCAAATCATTTCTTTCTCCCAATACTAGAGAGTTTTCTTGTGAGTAGTGAGTGTTTTGTAAACACCTGTAAAATTTCTCTTTAGTAAAAGATCTGCAGCAGTCCGGAGACGTAGGCACAATTGGCTGAACTCCATTATCAATTTCGGGTATTATTTTTCCGCTTTTATTTCACATTCTCACAAATTTGGTTATAGGGAAATTACTTGTACTCAAGTTTATTTCCCAACAACTGGTATCAGAGCTTTTGGTTGTGAATTTTGTCAATTTTTTGCTAGGTTACTATTCATTACTATTCATATGAATAGTGAATTTCGTGAATAGTAAAAAAAAATTTGTCGACGAGGGTGTTCTAATATACAGTGGTTCTTAAGAATTATATGAAACGATCCAAACGAAGCCAAATTCGAGTGGGAACGATGGCTGCAGACGAAGGGATGGTGAAAATTGAGAAGTTTGATGGTGCAGACTTTGGCTTTTGGAAGATACAAATTGAAGATTTTATGTACCAGAAAAATCTATATCAACCCCTCTCAGGAAAACAACCAGAGGGCATGAAGAATGAAGACTGGGCTCTTCTCGACAGACAAGCTCTCGAAGTTATCCGACTGACGTTATCCCGCAATGTTGCTTTCAACATAGCAAAGGAAAAGACCACAACGGGTCTTATGGCGACTCTCTCCAATATGTATGAGAAGCCATCGGCCTCAAACAAAGTTCTTTTGATGAGGCGATTATTCAATTTGCAGATGACGGAAGGGACATCAATGTCTCAACACCTAAATGAACTCAACACAATCAAAACCCAGTTGAGTTATAAGGAAATTGAATTTGATGATGAAGTTCGAGCTTTAATTCTCTTATCATCTCTACCAGACAGTTGGAATGCTACTGTTACAGCAGTTAGCAGCTCGTCGGGAAATAGTAAATAGAAATTCGACGATGTTCAGGATCTGGTACTGAGCGAAGAAATTCGACGAAGAGAATCGGGTGAAGCATCAACCTCCTCAGCCTTGCACACAGACTCCAGATGGAGAAATTCATAAAGAAATTCAAATCGTGGCAGATCCAAATCCAGAACGGGAAAATTAAGAACGGAAAAGAAAGATTTTACCTGTTATAATTGTGGCAAGAAGGGTCACTTTAAAAGAGATTGTCGAGCTCTGAAGAAAGATACCGACGTATAGGATTCTGCCAACATGACAGAGGAGACAGGTGATGCCATGATTCTAAGCGTTAACAGTCTGATTGAATCATAGATCTTGGATTCAGGGGCATCTTTCCACTCCATCCCATACTGAGAAATCATGGAGAACTATGTCAGTGGTGATTTTGGGAGGGTTCATCTAGCTGATGATGAAACCTTGAAGATTGTCGGAAAAGGAGACATCCGATTAAAGTTGCTAAACCAGACCAACTGGATGCTGAAAGGAGTGAGACATATTCCTAGCCTCAAAAGAAATTTGATTTCTGTAGGACAGCTTGATAGAGAAAGATATAGCACAACCTTTTCAGGCTGTGAATAGAAGATTACCAAAGGAGCACTCGTCATTGCTCATGGTAAGAAGACTGATACTCTCTATATAACCTCAAATTTAGAGAATATCATTGCAGCCGCAGATACTGATGGAAAATCAAACCTATGGCACCAAAGGCTTGGCCATATTAGCGAGAAAGGGATAAAAACGCTTTTATTAAAAGGGAAACTGCCAGATCCAAAGAGTGTAGATGTCGGACTATGCGAGGATTGCATCTTTGGCAAACAAAAGAAAGCCAGTTTTGCAAAAATTGGCAAGACAACCAAGGCAGAAAGGTTAGAGTTGATTCATACTGATGTATGGGGACCATCTCCAGTTCTATCTCTTGAAGGTTCGTTATATTATGTCACCTTCATCGATGATTCTACGAGGAAGGTATGAGTTTATTTTCTAAAGAAAAAATCAGAAGTCTTTGATACCTTCAGAAAATGGAAGGCCATGGTGGAAAATGAGACCGGTCTGAAAGTCAAGCGGTTGAGGTATGACAATGGAGGAGAGTACAAAAATAAGAGATTCAGAGATTTCTACGCAAATAATGGGATCAAGATGGAGACAACAGTTCCCATGACACAACAACAGAATGGCGTAGCAGAGCGCATGAACATAACTCTGAATGAACTTGCCAGAAGCATGAGGATACATGCCAGATTACCCAAATTTCTATGGGCTGAAGCTATCAACACTATAACTTACCTGATCAACCATGGGCCCTTAGTTCATTTGGATGGTAGAATACCAGAGGATGTTTGGAGCAAGAAAGAAATAAACCTTTCACACTTAAGAGTGTTTGGTTATATTTCTTATGTACACATAGACTCTTCTGAAAGAAGTAAACTCGATACTAAGTCCAATAAATGCGCCTTTGTTGGTTATGGCAGTGATGAGTTCGGTTACCAGTTTTGGGACTATGAAAATCGAAAGATCATCAGAAGCATATATGTCATTTTCAATGAGAATGTGATGTACAAAGATAGGTCAACTGTAGAATCAAGCAGCTCGAATACCAAAGCTGAAACAAATGAATTTGCTGAGTTCGAGGAGATTTCTAGAAATGATGTTCAGATCAGTCCTGAAGCAGTTCAAGAAGAACCAGGCACACTGGAACTAAGACGTTCCTCCAGAATTCCTAAACTAACCTAACGCTATTCTCCTTCTTTGCACTACTTGTTGCTGACTGACAATGGTGAACCAGAGTGCTATGATGAAGCAATGCAAGTTGAGGATTTAGTCAAGTGGGAGTCTTCCATGAAAGATGAGATGGACTCGCTTATGTCAAATCAGACATGGGAATTAGCTGAATTACCACCAAGCAAGAAAACGCTTCATAACAAGTGGATTTACAGGATCAAAGAAGAGCACGATGGGAGCAAACGCTACAAAGCAAGATTAGTTGTCAAAGACTTTCAGCAAAAAGAAGGTATTGACTACAGTGAAATTTTCTCTCCAGTCGTAAAACTATCTACAATCAAACTAGTGTTGAAAATTGTAGCTGCAGGGAATTTACATCTTGAGCAGTTAGATGTAAAGACAGCTTTCCTTCATGGTGATTTGGAGAAAGAAATCTATATGAGACAGCCAGAAGGCTTCATAGAGGCAGGAAACAAAAACCTGGTATGCAGGTTGAAGAAGAGCTTGTATGGTTTAAAACAAGCTCCTAGACAGTGGTACAAGAAGTTCTATAGCTTCATGAGTAGTAGTGGTTTTACTAGATGTCAAGCAGATCATTGTTGCTACATCAAGAGGTTCGACAACAACTTCATTATTTTATTGTTGTACGTTGATGACATGCTCGTTGCAGGCTCAAACATGCAAGAGATTTTACACTTGAAGCAAGAATTATCGAAGCAGTTTGCTATGAAGGATCTGGGCGCTGCAAAGCAGATTCTTGGGATGAAGATCAAAAGAAACACAAAGTTGGGGACTTTGATGTTATCACAGGCTGATTACATCAACAAAGTACTCTCCAGGTTCAACATGCAAGATGCTAAACCAGTAAGTACACCTTTAGGTGTTCATTTTAGACTTTCCAAAGAACAATCACCAAAGACGGAGGAAGAACGTGCACGCATGGTGAATGTACCGTATGCCTCAGCAATTAGAAGTCTGATGTATGTCATGGTTTGTACCAGACCAGATATTGCTCATGCAGTAGGAGTTGTTAGCAGGTACATGAATAATCCAGGCAAGTTACATTGAGAAGATGTCAAATGGATCCTCAGATATCTGCGGGGTACTACAAACAAAGCACTTTGTTTCAAAGGTGGAGATACGATACTGACAGGCTATGTAGATGCTGACTTAGCCAGAAATATTGACATCAGAAAGAGCACTACAGTGTATGTCTATACTCTAGGAGGTACTGCAGTGAGTTGGGTTTCTCAACTACATAAGATAGTTGCTCTCTCCACAATTGAAGCAGAATATGTCGCTGTTACGGAAGCCAGCAAGGAGATGGTTTGGCTCCAAAGTTTCTTGGAAGAGTTAGGCAAGAAACAAGAAAACAATGTCTTGTATTGTGATAGTCAAAGTGCTATCCATCTAGCGAAGAATCCGTCTTTTCATTCCAGGACGAAGCATAAACAATTGAGATATCATTTTATCCGGTCTCTTCTGGAAGATGGGATTTTGAAACTTGAAAAGATTAGTGGAGCTCAAAATCCGGCAGACATGTTGACAAAGACGGTGACCACAGACAAACTGAAGTTGTGCTCAACTTCAGTTGGCATGCTATAGTAACAAGACCAGAAATGCTGCTGCATTGATCGAGGTGTGAAGACAGATTAAAATCAGTCTTCAAGTGAGAGATTGTTGGAAAAGTCAAACAAAGGGGCTAAAGAATTAAACAAAGGGAGCTGCATTTTCAACTAAGGGAGACCACCAAATTCGGTGGAATTGTGCACTGAATTCAGTACAATAAATGTGTTTTTTTGGGGTAATTGTAACTTTAGTCATTGCAAGGGTATTTACAAGATTAGTCCCTAAGCTTCAACTATAAATACCCTAGCCCATTTAGCTTCAAAATAATCTCAAAATCTCAAATCATTTCTTTCTCTCAATACTAGAGAGTTTTCTTGTGAGTAGTGACTGTTTTGTAAACACCTGTAAATTTTCTCTTTAGTAAAAGATCTGCATCAGTCCGAAGACGTATGCACAATTGGCTGAACTCCGTTATCAATTTCGGGTATTATTTTTCCACTTTTAGTTCGTATTCTCACTAATCTGGTTATATAAAAATTACTTATACTCGGGTTTATTTCCCAACAGCTTGTTCCCGCCATTTCATCTTCAAGAAGTGTGACAGCCTGCATGCAATCCGTTAGGATTTCCAAACGTGTAATACCACTAGTCCAGGCCAGCCGAATGCCTTCATAGATACCCCAAAGTTCGGCTTGTAGGGCTGAGCTTTGGCCTACAAATTTGCTAAACCCGTAAAGCCACGTACCATCATCATCACGGAGCACTCCACCGGATACCCCAACTCCATTTTCAAGATTCATTCCCCCATCAGAGTTCAAACATGTCCATCCCTGATGCGGCTTCAACCAAGATTGCGGCTGGGGAGTAGCAATTGCAGAACCCGAGAGAGCTAATTACGAATTAGTTTGATATTGCTTTTCAAAAATAATTTTGAAAAATACTGAAAAAATAATTTTAAAAGTGCCTTTGAAAAGTATAGTTTAAAATTGCTATTAAAAATAACTTTGGAATGATAAAATATCTAGAAATAATTGAAAATAAAAGTATAACTTCACTCTAAAAGTGATTTTCTAACGTAAAAACTAGAAATTCAATCCTTTAAAATTATGATATTTTAGATATTATATTATAAATTACTTGTTCATAGCAGAATTTAAAAAACTGATCTCAGTTTAACTACTAACAATTTAGTTAATAGCTCAACTTTCGCAGGAGCAAAGTGTAAATCAAAATGCTTCTTCTTCGAACATTTTCATCCATCTTCCTTTTCTTCTTTACAGTACATTCTTCTTTTTCATCCTTTATTTTTATTCTTTGAAAGTTTGGCTGTTAGACTTCTATCCTTGAGGTGCACCTAAAGCTCATTCGCTATGCTATGTGGAAAGCATACCATTAAACAATTTGAACTTTCCCCGTAATTTTTTTCATTCTTTTAAAATTCGGTTTTCCTTTGTTACAACGACCAAGAGAGTTCGACTTGATTCAAAAAAAAAAAAAACTTAATTTGGTTTCACATAATTTCATAATTTTGATTAAAAAATCAAATAAATTTTGAGTTATAAAACATGACTCGTATAAGTCAAAACTTTTAGCAATTAATAGATTAATTTTAAATTTTAAGTAGAGTATCTCAACTCTACACGATATATCTATATCACATGTGAAAAATAAGATTAGTATCATAAAATTATGATATCTACAATTAATTAAAACATAAATTCGAAAAACCGACTCTAAAAAATTTATCAATTTTTAATATTTTCCTAATTTTTAGCTTTTTAGAAATGGGATGAAATTAACACTCAACATAAATGTTGTGGATTAAAAAATTTAAAATTATGACTAGATTAGTACGGATAAAATATGTTATTTTATTAAAGAAACAATTATCCCATTAGCGATTTAATGAAAATAACATAAAAGATAAAATCAACAAACTGAATGGCAATTTTATAGTTTTTATAATTAATTAACTAAAAAGAACTCATAATCAAGTGATTATTTATATATATTTTTTAATATACAAAGAGTTATCGATAATAGTAGAAAACATCATTTCCTAATAGATTTTACTTTGTCTTTGTTTGTGACTAATAATCAAGAATTCAATTAACAGGATGATTCAAGTGATAAGCAATTTAGTATTGTTTAAGTAAGGTCACGGGTTTGAGTCATTGTGTATGTAGAAAATCCATGTTGAGAGATCCACTCACCATAATCAAGTGTGCGACGCAGATCAATCGAATTAATCGAGGTAAAGCCTTGAACCGAGAGGACGTCTAAAAAAATAACAAGAATTCAAACTCATTATTACCAGGCAAAAAAGCGGATTGTGATTAATTTCATTATGGAAAAAAGTTGGCATGAGAGATTGATTACCAAGGACTACAAAGGAAAAAAACTGCAAACAATTCAATCCAAAATCATCCCTATACCTAAACCCAGAAACAACTTTCATTATCCTCTGTATGATGCATTATCATTACAACATTTGTTTTCTATTTTCCCTTCATTTCTTCCATATTCAGAAAGACAACTAACTTCTCGTCCTTAAAGAATAACACTTTAGTTTTTTTTCTGTATTTGTTTTTTTACACAGCTAAAAATTGCAAGAAATTATTGCTAATCACCACATATTCAGTAGCTGAAGTAGAGTACGACCTGCTGATGGCGTTAGTAGCCAAAAGAATTACGCCGACAACGATAAAGTTAGCCGCTCCGCTCCGTGTTAGAAATCAAACTTGAAAGTTGAAAGTCAAAAAATATGACTATGGAAAATTGAAGAATATTGTAGAAACAATCACATGGAAAATGAGGCATCAAGCAAAGTTTTATCACGGCAATCAATTAAGGAAACTTCTTGAATTACTTAAGAATTAAGTATGAATATTAGACGTGTACGAGTATAATTAAAGTAACACAAATTAATGTGCATGAAGGAAGCAAAATACATTACAACGACATTACCCCAATATTACAATACTATAACACTACAACACTAGTTGCAGCTAGTTTACAAACACAACCTCGCTATTCTAAGCTTTACTTAATTCTCTCTAGCTTTTCTAAGCTTTCACTCATTCTTATTTTTTTCTCACTTTCACTTATATTTTTATATACCTTTCATACATCACATATATATATAATAGTGTTTAACCGACTCAGTCGCCGCCTCAAACTTTCCTTCACAACTAAGCATTTCATTTATTTCTTCCACATTTCTTATCTACGTATACGTTGCTTCCTTCATGCACATTAATTTGTGTTGCTTTAATTATACTCATACACGTCTAATATCCATACTTAATTAAGTAATTCAAGAAGTTTCCTTAATTGATTGTCGTGATAAAACTTTGCTTGATGCCTCATTTTCCATGTGATTGTTTCTACAATATTCTTCAATTTTCCATAGCCGTATTTTTTTACTTTCAACTTTCAACTTTGATTTCTAACACTCCCCCTCAAACTTGATTTTCCATTCCGAGCTTTTCTCCGCTTATCATCTCCAATCGATTCTTCATTTTCTGGCAAGTGCATGCTGCTGCGGCTATGTATTCTTCTTTGCTTTTTCGGCACCTTGTAGAGATTTTTGCAAAATCTCTCACGTTTGTTTTGATTTTTCTTGCCATGTCAAACTCAACTTTGCAACAATATGTCAGAAAGAATTGTATAGAAGCTACTTGAATTTGCTTGTCGTGGTGGACATTTTTGCTGCAATCTTATCTTAATTGATAAGCACTTGGATTTGCTCCTGCCACACATTCCTTGTTGCTACCATAAGCCATTTCCCATGTGCTTTTTCTACAAAATTCTTTTCTTTTGTCCCCACCTTTTGTTTGTCACCTTGTTATGATTTTTCTTCCACGTTGAAATGCTTAATTGTTAAGCATGTACCTACTGCCACCATTCTTTGCAAATAACACATGCTAATTCAAGTAGCTTAAATACAATTCTTGCCGACATATTATTACAAAGTTGAGTTTGACTTCCAATACTCCCCCTCAAACTTGATTTTTCATTACGAGCTTTTCTTCGCTTATCATCTCCAATCAATTCTTCATTTATTTGGATTTATTTCCTTGTTGATATCTGCCTCTACCTCGGCCTCTGAATCCTCTTCCACGATCTAATGTTTGATTATTTTCACTTATTTGATTGCTGTCATATGACCAACCACCACGTCCACGAGTTCCTCGTCCTCCTCTGTATCTTTCACGATAACCACAACGATTTCCTCGACCTCGTGTATAGCTGCTGATAGCTTCTCCTTCATTGACATTCATCTTGCTTTGTAGAGCTTGCTCCAAATTTTCAGAATTTTCATTTTGTTTTATTTTCTTCTCATGGGCTTGAAGTTAACCCACAATCTAATCGATCGATATTTGAGATAAACCTTTCGATTCTTCGATTACCACAACCACATAATCGAATTTTCTTATCAATGATCGCAAAACTTTTTCCATCACTCTAACCTCGTCGAGTGATTCACCATTTCTTTTCATTTCATTCACGACCTCTTTTACACAGCTAATATACGATTTTTCTGTATTTTTCATTTTTAACTTCTCAAAGTCAGCTCTAAGAGTTTGTAAACATACCTTCTTTATTTTTTCGGCACCTTGGAGAGATTTTTGCAAAATCTCCCACACTTGTTTTGCGGTATTCACATCAGAAATTTTTTCATTGGTAGATTCATCTACTCATTGAAAAATAAAGAAAAACGCTCTTTTATCTTTTTTCGGAATTCCTTCAATACCTTCTTTTCTTTATTGGTCAAGACTGCTTCTGCTGCTGTATTTTCAGGCTCGGTGTAACCATCCTCGATGATATCCCAACAATCTTGGGAGCCTAGTAACGCATTCATTTGAATGCTCCAATTGTCATAATTCATCTTTGTCAATCTCAGGATTTTTGGTTGAATCATGATGGTCATCTTCTCCACCACGTTAAACTCGAACCAAGCTCTGATTCTACTTGTTGAAAGCGTTGATGGGAACTCAGTAATTTATAACTCGAACTATTTTTAATACGAGGTAAAATATGTTACAACGATGTTACCCCAATATTACAATACTACAACATTAGCTGCGGCTAATTTACAAACACAACCTCGCTATTCTAAGCTTTGCTAAGCTTTACTCAATTCTCTCTATTTTTTTCACTCGTATTACATTTCACACATTAAGCTAGAACAACCATATATATAGATGTAATAAACCGCCTCATATGCTTCTTCATTTTTCTTGCTGCCTTGAATTTTCTTGTCGTGGTGGACATATTTACTGCAATCTTATCTTAATTGATAAGCACTTGTATTTGCTCCTGCCACACGTTCCTTGTTGCTACCATAAGCCATTTCCCATGTGCTTTTTCTACAAGGTTCTTTTCTTTTGTTCCCACCTTTTGTTTGTCACCTTGTTATAATTTTGCTTCCACGTTGAAATGCTTGATTGTTAAGCATGTACCTACTGCCACCATTCTTTGTAAATAACACATGCTAATTCAATTAGCTTTTATACAATTCTTGCCGACATATTATTGCAAGAATTGTATAGAATCTACTTGAATTTGCTTGTCGTGCTGTAATTCCATGCAATTTTGACTTTTCAAAGTCTATTAATTCTTATTTGATAAGAATTACTTGTTGCTAACTATTTAATTCATTTTCCATTTTCCACGTTAAGCTTTGCCGCCTTAACCTTAATCTTTCATATGCCACGCTGCCTTCCATCACATGTTTATTTTCCATGCTTAATTTTTAAGTAATTCAAGAAGTTTTCCATCCATGTTTGTTTCTTGTCATGTCCAGAATTGTACTGTTCTTTATTTCTGCAACTCCATTTTGTTGTGGCAAATGGTTCTGGAAGGAGTTGTTCAAGTTGATGGGATCAAGCTTGAACTTCTCAATTTGTTGACATCAACGTTGCTGGCCAAAAATTGAGTGCACTAGTGAACACCAGTACCTCAGATTTATTCATGTCATAAGCAGTTGCCAAGAGACTTAGCCTTCATGTGGATAAGACAAATGGTTCCATCAAAACTGTGAATGCCGAAGAAGTTCGATTGCGGGGGTCACAAAGGGAATTGAGTTAATCGTTGGAGGTTGGTCCGGAAGGGAAGCCATCAAGGTGATTCCTCTTGATGACTTCAACTTTGTTCTTGGGTTAAGTTTCTTAGACTAGATCAATGCTTTCTCGGTATCTTTTACCGATTACTTGTGTATCCTGGATCTAAAGCAAAAGTTTATTGTTCCAGTGAGCCGAGGGCACGGAGTAGGGGCCAAAATTTTATCCACAATTCAATTCTCGAAGGCGGTGTTCAAGGAGGAACCAACCTTCTTAGCTGTCTTGGTGTGTGATGAGCCAGCCACAACCAAGGAAGTTCCCGACGTGGTGAGTGAGAAACCAAATCATCCAATAGTTTCAAGGTGTCCGATGATGTACTCAAATTCACAAGGAAAAAAGAGAGCATGTTATAGGTAACTTTTAGATTCATTCAACAAAACTGCTATTTATATTCAGGGAAATAAATACAGCCTCATCCCCTGGTAGAAGCTAATTGCCATGCCACTGTAGAGGCAGAGGATTTGGTTTGTTCGTTCATAAACCAACAATATTTTACAGTGTGCCTCGACTATTCAATCGAATTTATGCCAGAATCATTAACACTGTAAAGGCTTCTGGCATTGTAAAGGCTTCTGGAACTCTAAAGGAGAGACTATTTACGGTAGCCTACAATTCCAAAAAGGAAGCCATCATGAATGGAAAGAAAGCATCGCCAATTTGGGACATATTAGTTTTTAACAAAATAAGGGAAAAACTTGGAGGACGAATGCATTTTATGGCATCGGGTGCTTCCCCTCTTTCCAGAAGTAAAACTTGTGGATGTTCCTGAAATGAATTATACCTCTGACGATGAGATGTATCCTCATGGAGAAATTTGTGTGAGAGGTGCTATTGTATTTCAAGGCTACTACAAGGACGAAGCCCAAACGAGAGAAATGATTGATGATGATGGTTGGTTACATACATAAGACATTGGTTCATGATTACCTGGAGGCCGCCTCAAGATTATTGATAGGAAAAAGAACATATTTAAGTTGGCATCAGAGTTTAACGTGGTGGAGAACATGACATATGGAGAAAAAGCTAAAGCTCGGGAGGAAATCTATTATGGTCTTATGTATTATGGGTTGAAACAAGGAGCTTGTGTTGGACTTTATTTTATAAACCAACCTGAGAGGCTGATCGTTGATCATGCTTGTGCATCATATTCATATATCTCAGTTCCTTTATATGATACTGATCTGATACATTTAAGTATGTGGTTAATCATTCCACCATACAGGCTATTTTTTGTGATCGACAAACTTTGAACTCCCTGTTGGGTTTCATATCTCTGATCCCTTCTGTACATCTTATAGTGGTGGTGAGAGAAGTTGATGACCACTTACCTTCACTTCCTTCAACATCTGGTGTTAAGTTCATATCATATTCAACATTAGGTAGTCAGGGTTGCATTAACCTTCAACCATTTTGTTGTCCTAAACTTGAAGATATTGCAACAATATGCTACACCAGTGGCACTACTGAAATACCAAAGTTATATATCCTATCTTCCTCTGGCTCACATCTATGATCCATAGACGCTTCCAACAAGTGGTATCAAAGGTAGATTTTTCTTTGCTTTTCAAAGGTAGATTTGCATATGATGCAAAGACCGCAAAACAAGCGTGGGATATTTACAAAAATCTCTACAAGGTGCCGAAAAAACAAAGAAGAATACATAGCCGCAACAACGTACACTTGCCAAGAAATGAAGAATCGATTGGAGATGATAAGTGGAGAAAAGCTCGGAATGGAATATCAAGTTTGAGGGGGAGTGTTAGAAATCAAACTTGAAACTTGAAAGTAAAAAAATACGGCTATGGAAAATTGAAGAATATTGTAAAAACAATCACATGGAAAACGAGACATCAAGCAAAGTTTTATCACGAAAATCAATTAAGGAAACTTCTTGAATTACTTAAGAATTAAGTATGGATATTAGACATGTACGAATATAATTAAAGCATCACAAATTAATGTGCATGAAGGAAGCAACATATACGTAGATAAGAAAGGTGAAAGAAACAAATGAAATGCTTAGTTGTGAAGGAAAGTTTGAGGCGACAACTTAGTCGGTTAAACACTATTATATATATGTGATGTATGAAATGTATATAAAAAAATAAGTGAAAGTGAGAAAAAATAAGAATGAGTGAAAGCTTAGAAAAGCTAGAGAGAATTGAGTAAAGCTTAGCAAAGCTTAGAATAGCGAGGTTGTGTTTGTAAACTAGCCTCAGCTAGTATTGTAGTGTTGTAGTATTGTAATATTGGGGTAACGTCATTGTATCATATTTTGCTTCGTATTAATAATAGTTCGAGTTATAAATTATCAAGAGCTCACCTACGCTTCCAACAATACAGACTATGTTAGGGAGTCGCATTATGAGTTGGGGATAACGGTGCCAACATATCCGAACCCCACCATGAAAAAGGCGATTGCTTGTGCATAAAGGTATATGAAGTAATGGTTTTACCAAACACAACGTCGTAGCAGCCGCAGAAGAAGAGGAAAGCTCTGACGATAAGCTCCAAGACGTGGAGTCTGCCAGTAATCAAACTTTTAAGCGTAAAAACATCGAATGGAAAACAGCAGATTCAATTTGATAGCCTTTACCTTTCCCCAAACCGAAAACAAGGTTTTCAGGGTGCTTTTACGGCTGTTGCTTTAGCCTTGAGAGCATCTCCGAGTTTCTCAGTGACTATCCATTCGTTTACTCTACCGGCCTCCAACAGACCAATGAAGGTAGCCTTAGTTCGATGTAATGACATGACATTTCGAAGAGGATCCAGAAAACCAGCAAGTGAAGTGACCTGAACAGATCAACATAAACAAATTTATAAGCAAAAGCAGAAACATAGTACATTGGTTACAGATATTCGAACTCAACCGACCCATTGCAACAGATGAACTTGAAATTCGATTTCGAGTAACCTTGGAGTTCCAACAGCATTCAGAAGGGTAATTATAGAAGGAATATAAACGGCCCCCCACTTCGGGACTTCGACTTCGGGGACAAGTACAGTTGCAGGTAAAACAACGCAGTAGAAAATGAATGTAACAATATGTGCAACAAGCTTTCTAACAACAAAGAAGCTGTAAATTACGTGTACTTTTTTCCATGTCGAAACTTTCTGCAATAAAATGTTTACAAACAATCAAGGACCGATTCAACGGATTTTGAGTGTTCATAACTCGTTTTACGAATCGGTTTACGTTTAACTAACGTTGTTCTTTATGATCTCAATGACCATTTTCCTGAAAAGGTTAGCTGGACCACAAGACCATATGTGCTGTTGATATCGGTAAGCTTTCAAGGTACTCGGCAATTCATTTTTCACCTACATAACAAATACTATTAACACACGTCACTGATCGCCGGACGACAATACCTTAAGATTTCCGAGGTAGAGGAATTTCCAGCCCTTGAGACTTGCTCGAACGGCCAAATCCATATCCTCGACGGTGGTTCGATCTTTCCATCCTCCGGCTTCATTCAAAGCAGCAATTCTCCACACTCCAGCAGTATCATTGAAGCCAAAGAAGGCATAGGTGGAAGACCCCACTTCTTGTTCCACAGTGAAATGGTAATCCAATGACATTTCTTGCATTCTTGTCATCAAGCACTCATCAGAATTCACTGTAAATCATGTAAACAAGAAAGCTATCGCCCTTAGCTGTCATTTAATGAAGCAAATCAAGAAAATAAAGAGGGAAATCAAAAATGAAAATGTCGGTCAATCTACCATGGATAATGAGTTGTTGAAGGTCCACCACTTTACAAAGCTAGCACATGCAGCTTGCAGGGTATATGAGACAAGACTAAGATGACATACATACAAGGCACTAGATTTTTTTAAGCCCAAAATATGCCCTCCCAAAGGGCAGTGAAGGATACCATGGGACTCTCTTGGCAGTCTTTTTACAACTAAAAAGTGAATTCCAGATTAATTAGCACACATTTTGGGTCCATTTTTATTGAGTTTAGGCCTCCTTTTGTTCGAGATAAAACTTGTCAGATTAACTCATAAGACTGGCGATTTTCTCGATATATATCATCGGTGATCGGTAATATTATCGATCTAACACCGGTCAGACTATATTTCCTGATCTAACACCCTTAGCAGTAAAGCGCGCCCCCTGCACCGCGCTATACGATGATTTGGCGCCACGTGAGGTATAGCGCGCCCCCTGCACCGCGCTATACGGTGAGCTGGCGCCACGTGGGTATAGCGCGGCCCCTGAAGCGCGCTATACGCCACGTAGGGGTATAGCGCGGATCAGGTATCGCGTTATACCTTTACTGCATAATTTTATATAGCGCGAGGCAGGTACCGCGACATACCTTTACTCTTGACATAATTTTATATAGCGCGGGGCAGGTACCACGTTTTGTATAACTTTCATCGCTATAAATACCATTCTCTGCCGGTTAATTTCTCACATCTCTCATCTCAACTTATAAATTAATACAACAATTCCGTCAACGAGTCAATAATTCTGGCAATCTTCTCATATTTTATTTAGAAGTTCGTGCGATTTTTCGTTATAAGATAATTTTGTTATAATTTTTTATTATATTTATTGTTTATTATGATTATTTGAAAAAAATATTATACTAATTATTTTCAATTAATTTTTGTGTTTGTAAAATTGTAAAGCGGGAGCATACGTCGAAATAGTTTTGCGGTGCAGGTAATAATATTAAATTATATTATTTAATTTATTTATGTTGATGTGTAAAAATTTTATTGTGTTATATGTTCGTTCATATATAATTTATTAAATCAGGTTTGTTTCATTTATTGTTTTTGCAGATATAATAGTGCATCACTTTTAAACTCAAATAATGGCGCGACTTTCAGCTATTGTTTATTATGATGGTGAAATTCAAGAAGATGAAACCCGGCATTGTTTTCGTATCAAATGAGCGTGTTAAAATATCATTCAAGAGAAACATAACTCTTGAGGAGCTGATAACGAAGATTTCGATGAAGATTCATGTTGGAAGTAGTAGAAGAGTGTCGTTGTTGCAGTATAGATTTCCAACATCATTGTTGCCATTAACTTATACAGCGTTCGAACTTTCGAACAATGATGATGTTGAAATGATGGTTGAAGCTCAAAGTAATTATTCAGACGCCGGTATTGAGATGTATGCATATTTTGTTCAAGTGCGTGCTGTTCGAGGTTAATCATTAAGCTCCTATTATGGGCTGACTGAACAAGTTGACAGCCCGTCGACAGTAATGTGTAATGATTTTAATGCCATAATGGGGAGACATTCATCCGCAACTCCTTACGATATGTACCGAGGTAGGTCGACGAACAATCCGTATGGCAACATCGCGTCTAGTTCAAGGGGAAGGCATTCATCTGCAAATCCCTTTGACCTTAATATGGAGATGCCATCGACGCAACCATCTGTGCAGTTTCCATTTGACGCGATGGCTTCAAGCTCTAAGGGGAGGCATTCGACTGCGAGCTTTTTTGATCTCAATGTCAATATGCCTTCCAGTTCAAGGGGAAGGCGTGCAAGTAGTAGGTTCTTCGACCTAAATGTGGAGAGCATGGAGGAACCATCATCTCCACCAGAAGAACCGCTTCGTGAGCCTGGTGCGGATAGTGCTGAGACTGGACTATTCATTGACCCAGAATCACCGCAATTCAACTCCGATGATGATGAAGTTCCAGGAAATGTGGCACAAACTGACCCTCCTGCACACATGTATTAAGCTGATTATGGTGCAATGTACGGGCCAGAATTTGCAGATATGCCTCATCTCGGTGATTATGGGTATTACTCATCAATAAATAATGGTGAGTTATCTTTAGGCATGAAGTTTTCAAGCAAAGAAGAAGCGATGATGGCTATCAAATATTACAATATCCGTAATTCTGTTCAGTCCAGAGTAGATCGCTCCACGACCGAAAAATATGTATGCTACTGTGCCCAAAGCGAAAATGGATGCAATTGGATGGTTCGCGTATCGAAGAGGAAGAGGAAAAACAACAGATGAGTACTAACAGTATACAACGGTCCTCACACATGTTGTGCTGGAGGGGTCAACCAAGATCATCCGAACTTAGAATCTGAAGTGATATGCCAAGCCATCATGCCCATGGTCAAATCAAGCTCTCATATAGCT